TTGCCATTAAATTATATATTGAACCCTGGAAAAGTTCTGTTCTGATGCATACACTGTACACCGACATATAACCACTACTTTGTTTTCTATAAACTGCGGTCTTTCCTATTGTACTTCAGATGCCTCCTTTTGATGATAAATAATTGCATTTTATAAGATTCAAAGAAAGGCTGGGAGAGTGCTGTAGTTTAGCATGAGAACCAAAGGATCACAATTACTTACTTGCTTTCAAAGACAGTGGGGCACAGTACAAAATATAATGACCTTCTCCCAAGTCTATTTCTTCCTGTGACAAAATGTGCCATCAGATATTCTAAAACTTGTGCTTTCTTATTCTCCTTTTGTGACCACCTATTCTCCAATTTTTAGGTAATATAATATCTCTACACTGAGCACTTCCTTAACTTGCTTTGCAACTCCTATTTGATGCTGCATTTTTGATAATTCTTCTGAAAACATTCCGGGGGGATTTTAGCCCTCTTTCAGACCTACGGGTGAGTCCATAGCCATGACAATACCCAACCACCACCAATACCAAGAACCCCACTACTCTGCCCATCTCCCAGCCAGAGCAGTGGCGTCATAAGTGACTCTCCTCTTCCTGCTGTAGATACTCACCATTTCCTGACAGCCCTTCCTTCATGAACTCACTAAAACACTTCTTTTCATCTTTACCCTGTCTGACAAGACATTTCTTCAGGTTCTGCCCATCCTCCCCTCTTTGGTTTGGGACAGACTTCTTTCCCCTTTATTCACTGCTTCGTTTCCAGTTGCTGCTGCTAAAATTGCCCCTTGTGCCTCCCATTCTTCTGCATACCCAAGGCTTTGCATGGCTTTTTCCTTACAATCATGCTTGGTTCCTCATCCTTCTCTCCTTCCACTCACCCATACCTTGTTTTCACCCTTCTTCAATTTTCATACCTTCCTGCCTCCTAAAACAGGAATTCTCTCAATTTCTTTGTTTCTCCCCCATCATCCAGCTTCCTCCCTAAGACATAATGCAGTCCTTTATGGGGACTTTTTATAGAGCTCACTGCCAAAATGCACTACTAGACTGTACACTCCTTGGGGCAGGAATTGTATTATTGACTACACAATATTTCCAGTATTTGCACAACACTGGGAAGACTGAATAAACAATCAATAATAAATTAATAGCACAGATATGATAACAGTATTTTTAGCTTTCTGAAATAAAATAGTTTCATTTTAAGTGTATTCAATCCAAGCATTATTGCCTGTAATTAATGCCTGTAAATTAATGCCAGAGCATCCACCACACCAAAATCAGTGTTCAGATGTGATGTATCGCACTTGGAATGTCTCCCTCACTTGCATTGCTCTCTTGGGGTGGGAAATAGGAGAAGGCGGCAAAACAATAAGAATAATGAATAATCACATATTTCACAAAAATGCTCAGTTTAGAGTTTGTAATTTAGACAAACAAAAATCTGGATTTTGCAGTAATTTCATTGCAGAGTCAAGAAAGCAAAATTTGTAAATATTTTTTCCAGAAAATCTGTCATCACACACACCCCTAAAAAACAATATGATAATGTTTCCTTCTATTTTTCCCAAAGAGACTCAAAGGTGTGAATTGATTAAAATTGAGACTTGTTGATTTTTTAAAAATTCAGAACTTTGTTTTCTGCTATATGAATGAGAAAAACACCAAAATTGCAATCTATTTTTCCTGGGTTCGACAATCACAAAAGTCCTCTTCCCACTCCTCATTATTGACTCACACACCACTGCATCCCAAGGGACTGTATTCTCAAACAGGGAATGAGTAATCAGGAAAAAGATGTTTCCCCTCTTCAAAGTATGCATTAAAGCATTCAAAACTTCCAAACTAGAATTTGTTTGGGTTGTAAATCTTATGGCAACAATATTGACAGTGTTAATGGAATTTAAACACGGTACACAAAGTACGTACACTTTTCTAAAATACAGATCAGCTCCTGGAACTTTTTTCCGATAAGGTGCAAGGTTGGTTCTTGGTTTAGTTGTTTGAGAAGGGAGTAATATAGAGCCCAGATGGTCCAGGCAAATTATTAGACCTATCCCAAACGATAGGGCATATACTCTTCTAGAGCTTGCGAAGGTATATGTCTTAATTTGTTCAAGACATCTTTGATGCCAGTTACAACTGTAAGGAAAGGCAACGATTTTAGAAAAGGGCTATTTTGGAGCCCATTCAAAAAATGACTCACTGGATTTGACTGCCATTTTGTTTACTGTTATAGAAAGAGGCAAAAGAGGTGTAAAGCAGATTTTAAAGAGGAATATATTCACATGTCTACTTATCTAACAAATAGTCTGCTCAATGAGCACTCTGCAGAGCTAATTTGCCACTGTAAACACACACACAAAAAAGGCCTCACTTTATCACAAGTCAAAATAATCATTTTGTTTTCTGAAATAGAATCAAGGAGAAATTCTGGGGTGTGATCACTAACTTCTTCACATTTCTTGTGAATTAAGAATTTTTTGCTCCACTAATTACTAAGTTCACTAAAAGTAGGGGTAGTTTATATATCTTGTCCTTTCAACATTGCATTGATCAAATATAAAATCTTAAACATCCAGTTTTTGGGCAAATTGGCAAGTGGAGAACAAACCTCCAGCTCTTTTAGTTAAGATAAAAAACTACTAGGCTTTATGTAAGCAGAGTTGCTTGTCCTTAGGAGTTCAACATTATCGCATCATCCAGCAGACCACATGAACCATAAAAGTCTCTAAGCTCCCAACTACTGTAAGATAGTTTTTATCGAACTATAAGTCAATACTAAACTGGTTAGCTGGCAAGTTCATAATCACCAAAGGTAATATTCACAGTTTGGGTGATTGCTGCAACCAAGACACTTCTTATGTATGTAAGCTATTTCCTACTTTTGTGAAAAAAAGGGGGCAGCATTCAAAATATCCATTATCAATATTTTGAATAGGAATCCTTCCAGCTGGAAGTCTTCAGTCTTACCATTGGTGGAATTTGCTAGAACTTTTGGTTGTAAACAAGATTTCAAAAACTCATACCAACTGCTTTATACTCATTAACCGTCTCCAATTTACAATTCTGATAATAGCCTGGACAGTGCCGAGTCTCACATGAACATACAGCGCAGAGTCGTACAAAGGGTTGAAATCAAAAGATGATAAATGCCAATAAAATGAAGATGAACATGAGCTACCACCATAGCAAAGTCAGGCTGCATGGCATTAAATGTTGCTTCCACAGGCCAAAGCAACAACTGCTTCTTGCAGGTCAAACCTGAAGTGAAAACATGGAGTCTAACTGCGGATAAGAACTACAGTGGGATCTCTATGGACCAAGACATGGAGGGCTCATCAGAGCAAGATCGGATCACACACTTGCTTATCAAGAGAGCTAACACTGCGAGGGGGCTCGTGCTTTACCTGGCGGCACAAATCCTCCCTGGGGAGTTGCAGTGCTTGCTACTTCAGCGGACTCCACCGCGGAGAAGCCCTGTCCTTTGGCAGCTCGTGGTCGCAGAGCTGCGCCAGCCCGCTCCCACACGCTGGTTTCTGTCTCAAGTCTCTGCTACATCTGTTGGAATGAGCTAACAACTTGCAGGTTCATCTTGAGTAACAGCCAGGTTGGTTGGTCAGGAAAAACCTCCTCAGCTTGGATAGCAGGAGACATTCGAGGGCAGAAGTATGTCCTGAGCCCGAGTGGCCTTGCAGTTGAGCCAGGACCTGTTGTGTGGGGAGGCCGCTGAGGCCTTCTGTGCTTCTGGAGCCACACAGGCATGTGAGGCCACCACTGGAGACTGTCCGGAAGGTTCTCCAACAGGAGGCCACCATGGTCTGCAGCGTCTCTGGGAGCACATGGCCATGCAAGGCTGGAAACGGTCTGGAAGGTTCTCCAACAGGAAGCCACCAGGGCCTGCAGCACCTCTGGGGACACATGGCCATGTGAGGCCCCTGATGAAGATGGTCTAGAAGGTTCTCCAGTGGAGAGCCCCATTCAACTCGTACCACCATGCTTGGCGGCATGATGGCACGTCTACGCACCCTGCGCGTCTACGCAAGGACCCAGGAGGAGAAGGATGAGGAGGCAGGCAGCTTCCATTTCCTTCAGAGGGCTGGCCAATTTGCAAAATGGCTGAAGGGGAGCTGCAGGAGCGGCTCCTTCCCCCGCGGGGC